TCATGCAGGACACAGCTGATCACTGAAGACAATTTTAGACTTTTAATCATCCCAGAGGAGTCTACACAGCGAACACCCACTTATTAGCATTCCCTCATTTTGCTGCTCCAAAATCCTTTTCCTTTATCTTGTTACATCTTTAAAAATGAACTGTTCTTTGTTGTGGATGATATGTATATAATTTCTAATCCTGATCCATCTTCCTGAAAATTATTCTTCCATAGTATCTTGGTATATTGTATATATAAAATATATATGTAAATGTAAATGTATATTTATGTATAAATATATATTTCATAGGTATATGAAATATACTTCTGTTTGTTTTTCTCTGTTAATCTGTCTTTTGAAAAAGAAAAGAAAAGAAAAGAAAATCTGTGTTTTGTTATAGGAAACCCAACCAATAAGCCTGAGGCAGATGGAAGGAACAATTACTATCCTGCTGTCCTTTGCCAGCAGCATTGTTTTAACAATAATTTTTATGGATGTCTGTTGAAATAAAACACACACACATACACACACACACACACACACACACACAGAGAGAGAGAGAGAGAGAGAGAGAGAGAGAGAGAGAAATACAATAAGAAAGAAGTAAGGAGAGTCCTCATGGGATTTTAGGTCATAGTTGTTTCCCCTACGCACAGAGACATGAACATATTGAAAACTTGTCTTCAATCATCGACTCTTTTCTTTTCCATGCATATTCTCATTTTTTGGGGGGGTGTTTTTCTACTGAGATATAACTTCTAGTTTGTTTTCTTTGTACTTCCTTATAAATGCAAGAGAATATGCTGGTTAATAATATATTGAAATGCATGACCTCTGTCAGTAAACAGAAATGTGACAATACAGATAGACTAAAGGTAGAAACAAAGATAGGGAGAAAATGAGAAATGTTTGAAAAAAAATCTCATCTTTCTGGCACTCCTACTTACTACTTCTGTGCTGATGTTCAGCCTTCAGCTCCCTGTCCTTTCTCTTTCCCTTTTCCTCCCCTTACACTTTGTGGTCTACTTTGGAGATGTTATCAGCTTTCATTCTCAAAATTCCAAATTTCCAGCTTTCGTTTTGGAACTGCAGAAATGTCCATTTATTCAGCACATATTTTATAAGTATACTGATAGACACTGAGACTATAATGGTTAACACTAACGGACATAGCCCTTATACTTATGTACTGGTAGTCTGATGGGGAAAAAGATAATCCAATAATCACTCTATTGAACTTCTTACTACAGATTGAGAGAAGTTTACCACAGAGTATAAGGATGGGTTCTATGACTTTATGCTGTGAAATAACCTGATAGCCAGGGGTGGTGGCACATGCCTATAATTCCAGCTACTCTGAAGGCTGAGGCAGGAAGATTGCAAATTTGAGGCTAGCCCGGGCTAGATGATCGAATGGAGCACAGTGTGAGTGCACTTTGTCTAAACAGAGGGGATGATGCTTCAGGAGGCAGCATCACACATTTAAAGAAAAAGCCAGGGGAAAATAGTGTAAGATAAGGATACAGAGGGTAAGCAGAAGTTTTAAGGTTATATTAGAGTTAGACACATTTATCCAAATAGCAATGAAATGCTATTGAAAACTCTTATGGGGTTGGGAAGTAGGCAAAATATTGTTTTAAAATAATCACATTGTCTTACAAAACTAAGCATACTCCTGATGTATGATCCAGAAAATGTACTACTTGGTATTTACCTAAATGAGTTAAAATATTCCACAAAAAAATATGCATATGAATGTTTAAAAGCAACCAAGCTGTCCTTTAGTAGCTGAATGGATAAACTGAGGTCTATCCAGACAATGGAATGTTATTCAAAACTAAAAAATGAGTTATCAAGCCATGCAAAGACATGTAGGAAACTTAAATACATATTACCAATTGAAAGAAGACAGCTCTGTGACATTCTGGAAAAGGCAAAACTAGGAGTAAGTGAGAAGACCAGAGATTAGAGGGAGGGAGGGGTAAGCAGGCTGAGCACAGAGAGTGTTAGAGCAGCAAAACTGCCCTGTGAGTGGACACAGAATCACTTTGCCCAAAGCCATGGAACGCACAAGACCAGGAGTGAACCCTCGTGTAAGCTCGGGATTTTATGATGATGAAATGTTGCTGTAGGTTCATTTGTTGTTGCAATGTTCACTCTGGTGGCGGATAATGATGGCAGAGTGTCAGTGCATGTGTGTGGAGGGGTTAGGTGAGAAATCTTAGTATCTTTTGTTCAATTTTTCTCTGCTCTAAAAATAATGTATTTAAACAAAAAAGTTTAAGAACAAACTGCTTACCAAAAAAAAAAAAAAAAAAAAAAAAAAAAAAA